CGGCCCTTGCACTGCGACCACAGTGATCTATTGTGCCTCTCCTGATTATCCCCTCAATAATCCTGTGCTTCAAATGAAGCGTAGGATTTTGTACATGTACATTCAATAACTGAGAGAAGTAGTACTTCCACCTATTCAAAATGTTGTGGGACTCTGCAAGCAGATCACCATTCTCATCTTTCACTAAGTTACATCTAGGTTGGTAACCCCTCTTAAAGTAATTTATTACTTTATTACTATATTAAAGTAATTTATTACTTTATACAGTTCTCTAATCATCATAACGATGATATCACACCAGCAACCTTTTAGTGTTATATATGATATCCTGTCACTAATGAACTCTACCCTCTTAACTGCTGATACGATTCTCTTATGTACTAAAAAACCTGTACCTAATTCATGATTTTCATGAGTTATGAGTGTATTATGCTTAATAGTGTAATAGAATAAAATGAATTAACTTCATGTTAACTTCCTAGGCTCCTCGAGCAAAGATGAACCAACAGCGCTCTCGGCGATTTCGAGCTTCAAAGGAAACTGTGGAAAAAATACAAGAGATCACTCGGGTTCGTTCAGAATTGGCAGCAAAGGGATGCCATCTTCCACCAGAGAAACCAAAAGAAAGTCACTTTGACAGCAACTGTATCACTCCTGTAAGTTGGTATATTTAGCCCAGACCAGAGGTCTGAAATATCTGTAGTAGTGCATGATTTGGCTTTGTTCATTGTTTATGTCACGTCTACTGCATGACTTGTTTAGTTAAACAGTTGATGTCAAAACTATACTACACCGATACCATGGGCCTCCAAGCAGTTTATTACATGTATACAAGTCTAGAATATACCATAATGTCTGTGGGAATATAACAAAATTGCAACAACTGACTTGATGAAATGGAATATACTTGTAACATGAAGAGTTTTTAACCTTATTTTATGCCATAACTTTCGTTTTTATAATAAGTTTATAGTTCATTGTATTTTTTAATGTAATAATTATCAAGTATCCAGCTTTACTATCGCAATTGCAGTTCAGTAGTGTGTGATTATGGTAATCGTGTGTTTGCCTGATGATGGCTTTAATAGCCTAAACGTGTAGCTAAGCTAATTTTAGCCTTGACCATTGTATTGTTATGTTGTGATGGACTCTAATAAAGAATTGTATAACTTTTTACTTCCTCTTTGTGCTATTATCACCAAACCTGTACCTGATAAGCTAATTGTGTCAGGGATTAGCAAGTTTAATGTTCTAATCTGGCTCCAGTTCCATCAAGATTATTCCTTGGCACAACATTCTGTCCAGTGTATTTCTTGTCTCAGAAAGAACCAGCTGAACATACTTTGTTCACCAATTCAAAAATTATTGATGGAGTTGAAACCTGAACACCAAGGCAGCGAAATCTTCTTTAATGTGATTTATATGATTTATTTTAAACATAATTATCATACAGAAAATTCCACTGTTCAAGTATATACTTCATTATTTGAATTTAGTGAGAACGTGAAACAGACTTCTGAATGATTGTACAAAAAAAGGAGACATAGAATTGATTTTGTATCAGTGAGTCACCTGCATGTACAGTGTTAGTTGTACAAGATAAACAATAACAAAGGCACTGTTCAGTAATGAAAAACCGATGGTCTCTGTACATATCCATTTGCCAATTAATAATGTTCAGTGTGTGTCCTCCCCCCCAATTATCAGGCAAACTCAATTCGGTTTGTCAAGAAAGACTCAGTGTTGTACATATTTGGTCCTAGATCTAATCCACATAATTATAATCTTTGTTATTTAGGGAACACCATTCATGGCTCGATTGTCATCCTGTTTGCACTATTACATTCATGATCGAATGAACAATGACCCAGCATGGAGAGGAATCAAAGTAATTCTTTCAGATGCAAATGTGCCAGGAGAAGGAGAACATAAGATCATGGATTACATTCGGAGGCAGAGAGGTAAATAAAACACAGGAACAAGAAAAATGGGCATGAGTATCTCGGCTGTTTGCCAACTTGAAGATTTACTTTTTTCTTTCAGAACAAATTAATGTACTAGTTTTTAACATCGTTACACATTGTGTAGTTTTTCCATAGTGCAGCAAAATGTTCTGCTCATAATTTGTTGGCTCGGATATACCTGTAGGTGTGAACTTGCAATCAATACTTGTGCTCTGCACATTGTGTAAAATAAGTCAGAATTATTTCAATTTAGCGAAAACGTCTGAAAACCCCTGACATTTTTTTAGAATGTCACGATAAGATTTGAAGTTGCGTTCCAACTCCGTTTCTTGGAAAGTTCCTTCATTTTTGTCTTTTTCATCAGCTTTCTCTTTGCTACGGGCCTGCTGGTAGTCACAATGAACTCATCAGTTGCTTCAAAAGTGGCTTCAGTTTCAATGTTAACATACAATGTTAAGGTAATCTTCTGCCATAACATTAGCAAACATAGTCTCGTTAAGTACAGGGTTATTCATAAGTCCATGAACCAATTTGAAAATTTACAATAAATAAACTAGACAAGGGATACCAAATTTTATTAAACTGAAATAGAGATAAACTCACCAGTTTTTTTAATGTAGTTCACAGATGCTTAATGTGTCCACCTTTGCTGATACGGCAGACATCTATGTGACAATTTATTTCGTCCCACACCTGTGTCAGCATATCACGGTTGACCAGAGCTACAGCAGCGGTGATACAGTTGCGAAGATCCCTGAGATTAGCAGGCAGATGAGGCACAAAGACAGTATCCTTCACAAACCCCCAAAAGAAAAAGTCACACGGGGTTAAATCTGGGGACTGGGGTGGACACTGCATCAGTGCATCATCTTATACTGTGCGTCCTATCCACCTTTATGGCAAAATTTGATTGAGATACCCTCGCGGGTCTTTGTGGTAGTGAGTCGGACAGCTTTCTTGTTGAAAGAGGTAATCATTACTGTCTTCATTCATCTGGGGCATCAGCCAGTTTTCCAACATGTCCAAGTAAATCATCCCAGTGACTGTGGGCTCTGCAAAGAAAACTGGTCCATAAACCTTTTTCTTTTCTTCCCCCACACCCAAAAATAAATTTCACAGAAGACATTTCTCTTTAGGTGAGTCTACCACGTGCTGTATGACTACATGGGAATTTTCGGTCCCCCAGATGTGCACATTGTGCCAATTCACCTTTCTAGACAGATAGAAAGTTTCTTTGTTGCTAAAGATTACCGAGTCTGTGAAACCTTCAACTTCAAATCTCTTGCATTTCAGTGCAGAAATTAAGATACACAACTTTGTCATTATTGCTGAGATGCTGATGCAGTTGAAGCCTGTAGGGTTTACACTTGAGTCTCTTATGGATAATTTGCCAAACTGTTGATTGCGAGATGCCAAGCTCTCAACTTGTACGTGTAGTGGACTTGCGTTGGCTGTGCTCGTAAGCTTGTCTAACATGATTCACAGTTTCTTTGCTTGGTCCTGGACATCCTGACGGAGGAGCTATGCACAGACAGCTTTCATCCCAGAATTTCTCATACCATTTCTTGATATTGTTGAAAACTGGTGCTGCCTTTTGGAATTCTGCACAAAATCATTGCTGCACAGTCACAACGGACTAAGTTCTTGTGTATTCCAAAACACAAAATGACTGCTCATGTTTACTGAATGCCATATTTGCTACTACTCTCTTGTAGTGGCAAACCACAGCAACTATATGCGCAGGCCTTAAAAAGAAAACTTTGAGAGATTCATTCTCTATTGGCATAAGAATTACCAAGATCCGATGCATAGTTTATTTGTTGTGAATTTTTAATTCACAGACTTAGGACTAACCCTGTATACATGACTATCCTGGACATTCTTCTTGTTTATTTCTTTTTCAGTCAAATCACTCATACAAAATTTGACTTCATAAAAACACCACTTAACAGTTTCTGGCAACACTTCTTTAATTGCTTCTGCTATCCAAATTACCAGATAAAGCACCAAAATAGAGTTACAAAGTCTGTTGGCAGAAGTTGCAGCATCTATATTAGATAGAATGAATCATGTGAGTTTATAGTACTTCATCTTCACACATTTCATAATGCCTTGGTTCTTGGCTTGAGTTTCACTTACAGTGTGTGAGTGGGAGCCACACAAGTCATACGTTGGGCAGTTCAGAGGATGGCCTGTTACATTATCTGGAACAAGATAACACTGAGGTTCTGTTTTTTATTGTTGAGTTAAATACTGTCAGATGTTGCTCTATTATATGAGATATGCAGACTTCTTTTTTATTAGCCTTCCACACAAAAGGAGGTTTCTGTATGTTACTTCTTGAAATATCATGCCTTAATTTTTGATCTCTTCAATCATACCTTTATTTTCAAAGTTTTTAGCCAGCACATCTCTTGCCTTTTGCACAAGGGGTTCTGGTTGACAGTATGAAAAATCTCTCCCATTTCACCACCATTTACAATATTTGTGTCATATCCATCCAAAAGTAAATATATTTTGGCAGCCAAGGCTGCTACACTTGCTCTGCAAACATCTCCATATTTACCACACACTTCATTAAAATATCTAGTGTCTGAAGAGTGTGATTTTCTGGGCTCTAATGCCATGTAATTTAGGAAAAGCCCAGTGTTTCAGAGGAGCATATTGCCTTCGATTTCAGGGTAAGCCAAGCAAGAACTGGACTAAAAACAGGAGGCTTTTTCTGAGCTACACAGTGTTACAACCCAGAAGACCATACAGTTCGTGATCACTGCTGTGAGAACCTCAAACCCAACAAATTTTATGTCACTTTCTAAAGCTTTCCATCCATTGCATACTGTAAATTTGCTTTTCCTCAATTTATAGCTTCACTTTCAAATGTTCATTTGCCATTGGCCCAGATATTTGAATGTTTCTAGCTGTCACACCTACAACCCACTCACACAACTCGTTGATACCATCATTTCTGGTTTCCCTTAATTTCTGTTCACTTGACTGTCACTACAATTTAGCCACTGCTTTTTATTTTGGACCTTGTTTTTAAAATGTCATTCACTTAAGGTTTTCCAACAAATATCCTTTTCTGGCACCTTGTGGCTGTGACTAAATAAAAAGGTAAACATCTTTCAACCTCATACCCTCAAAGGCAATTCCAAGTGTATAGCTGCTAATCAGTAATGAGATGAAGGTTTGAAGTGGTTGGGGTGGGTCAGGTGTTGGAAGTATATCGTATATTTCTTTATGAAATGTATATGCTTACTTTTCAGCACAACCGGATCATGACCCCAATACCCAGCACTGCCTGTGTGGTGCTGATGCTGATTTAATAATGTTGGGACTAGCGACACATGAACCCAATTTTACCATTATACGGGAGGAATTCAAACCAAACAAACCAAAACCCTGCGACATTTGTGGACAAATTGGTATGTGAATTTGACAAGAGTTAATATATACCATATAGTTTACTTTATACAGGGTGATTCAGAGCTCTATTACAGTACTACAGGAGGTTGTTAGGGACCTCAGTTGGAGCTGAAAATGAAATTAAATTTTTTCAGTTTCATAACCATTGAGCAGTTACAGCATTTTTACATTTGTTCCTTTGTATAGTTGTGTTTTGTCTATTTCTAAAAAATGAAAACACTTCTTTTTATTGTAACATATCAGATCTCGTTTGAAATCAAATTAAGAAGGAAAACCAGTTCTGTCCTTTGTAGCATTTTTCAGTTGTCACTTTAGAGTATATCTTATTGAATACATTCTGATTACATGTTGAGGTCTTGTCAGCACACTGAATGTACATCATAGCAGATGTTCAAAGTATCCTCCCTCCTCCTGAACATGCATATTGCTACAACATCGAATTGAGCTCCCAATGATAAGTAGTTGTCTAGGCAGATTCCTAATATTTGTAGCAGCCACCTCAGTTTAATTAATTAGATTGTTGTGATTTTGAACTTCTGTCACATAAATTTGTTCCTTCTGGCATACCCACAGATAAAAATCTAGGAGGCTGAGATTGGGAGAATGTAGAGTCCAGGCAGTTGGACCACCACACCCAATCCACCTGTCCAGAAAGTTGTTGTCAAGCCTATTATGCACTCAGCATACAAAATGAAGAAGGGCATCATTGTGTTGAAACCACATGTTCTCACTTACATGTAGAGGCATATACTTCAGTAAAAGTGGAAGGATTTCTCCAAAGAAGATTTATATGATCCTGTATTGCATGTGGTCTGATTATGTAATCATCTACTATTCTGGCCCAAATATTGACACCAGATCTTTGTTGGAATAATGAGCGAGGAGTAACATGAAGATTCCCCATTGCCCATACATGCAAGTTGTGTAGATTGTGTACACTGCTTCTTGAAAATACTCCATCATCAGACTGCTTAACACAAAGCACAGAAATTGAGTGTGTCCACAATCTTGTCTAGTGCATACTGCAAGAACTGGGTTTAAAGTACAAAATTTATATTTCTGACTTTTTTAAATATCAGAAATATTTAGATATTTGTAAAGAAAGGCTTACCACATGTTAAAAGTTCCTAAGTTCATCAATTAATATCTAGGAAATTGTTAATGGTAAAAATTGAATCTTTTGGAAAGCTTTTGCTTT